GGGGCCCGCACGTCACGTGAGGACGGGCCATCTAAGTATCTAAGTAAGTAAGTATGCTTTTTGAGATAGTTAAGTTTCACAATTTTTTGAAAATTTCATATCATTTCTCAGAAGAAGGTCAAATGACGGTTTGATAGAGCAAACCTCATAAAATACAGTGCAACTTTTTTCTCTTTTCCATAGCTTGTCATACATTTTTAACAGAAACAGCTAAATCCTAGTAGAACATCAAACCTTGAGCAGCTCGGGTGTCATTCGATGCAACTTTTTCTCCTCTTTCTAATGGATGTTTTTTGTTTCCGATTCATTTAGTCTCCGGGGATAAAATCATCATAACTCATTTTTTTAGCGAACCCCAGGCTGCGCCCGAAAAACTCGAAATTTGGTACTTTGAACCCGTAAACCCTCACGTGCTTTGTAAAATTAATGCTAACTCATAGTATCATCTTGGTAGTCTCAAATTCCGAAAAAATATAATGTTCAATGCGATTATGGTTGAGGTGGGCCTGTCAAAATCCGATGGTTCTGTTAAAAAATCTTTTAAAAAATTACGGCGAGCTCCGAGAAAGGGAAAAAAGTAGCACTGTATTCTATAAGGTTTACTCTATCGCGTCTTTACTTGAGCTCCTTCTGAAGATTGATATGAAAGGTTCAAAAAATCGTGAAACTTGACCATCTCAAAAAGCATGGGTCGCAGATTTTGGTTATTTTCTTAAAGCTCATTGGCTGTTTTGCAACTGTTTCATAACCATTAGAAAGAGAATGAAATGCTGCATCGATTGCTTCCAAGGTCTCTTAGAAATCTCTGTTCCTTCAAAAGTGGCGCCCGTTTGAAAAAAGCGAAATTAATTTCTGAATGACCTAATATATGTCTTACCTCATGAAGGGGACTCCGTTATCAACACCTAGTTCCGCGCTGGCTCGAAGAGTTCTTGATAAACATAAAAAGTGCAGGAAAATTTTCTGGCTTGCAGTGCTTTTGTCTTTTAGATATTCCTTGAGCTGCTCTCGGCATAGCAAAAAAGCACTTACTTTTAGAAAGCGCGTTACTCTATTAAATCTACTTTTTGCAATACGATTTCATCAGGTATACTCCCGAAGCAAAGATGGTCTACACTAAATTACCAAAGCAAGATTTTCAGTTTAGACATCTCAATTCGGATTTGAATGAAATGATTTCGCTCTGAAAAAGGTATACATCAGTCCAGACGATATTTTGAAACCTCAAAGGGTCGCAACTAGGCTTAGTTTATGAAAGTCTTGAGGCAGGTTGGATTCCGTTTTTGGATCAAAAGCAAAGGGAGTTTAAGCATGCTCCGCAGGCATACAAGCGACCATTCAACAAACAAACGTATCAGAAGCAAGTTACTACGCGATAGACATCTCCGTCGTGCTCTTTCAAAAACTGCGCACAACTTGAATGGCAAGGCTAAATTGAACAAGTGGCTAATTTGCAGCACAGAGGCAAGTTTATGGTACCAAATTTGGACTGTTTGCATATCGTATTCATAAAAAGTGTTATGTGAAAGATTTTGAAAACTTTTGCGACGTAGTGCATTTTCCCAGTTTAGGTTTCCTCCAAAAGGTCGAAAATCTATTAAGCGGGAAGAAAAATTTATATCTTTGCTTCTGCTTCTTGCCTTCAATTTGCTCAAAAAACAGTTTTGTTATACAGGGTGCCCCAAAAGTATGTATACACTGTTCAATCGTTGATATCTCTTTCCTCGAGAAGTCTTTTGCCTACCTCCAGGCACCATTTTGTAGAACTGGTTTCAGCTTAGATTAACAGTATAAAGCGATTCACTGATCGCTCTATGTTACTGGGTTTACGGCGGAGACCAGGCCCCTATTTTGCCTCAGAAAGCAAACAAACAACCTGAACACTTCTATACTAGGTAGTTCGAGCCGATAAAACCAAATATGAAGTTTGCACTTTACCGCAATGCTTCCTTCATAAGTTATGCCAGGTAAACCGCAATAGCTGTTTTTACAAGGCTCCATAAAATCGTGATTACACCATTTGAAAAGCTTTGCAAACGCATAGAAACTTGACTAATAAAATCAGCGAGCATAAAAACCCTAGTACACCACTTTACAGATTTTTTGGAAACTTTTTTGAAACATGGTTAATGCGCAATGACGCTGTAAGCTGAAAATTCCTACCGTAATCCTACTAGTGATGAGTGGTCGATGATTCGCTCCATACTGTTAATCTAAGTTGAAGCCAGCTCTACCAAATGGTAACTGAAGCTGGGCAAAAGACTTCTTGGGAAAAGAGTTATTAACTATCAAACATTGTATACATACTTTTGATACATTCTGTATATCGTCTCAATGATTCCTCTTGTGTGTCTTGAGCACTGCGGTCCTGTTGTTGTTTCTTGCTCTTAACACCCATACGTGATTGACATTACCTAGCCTTACCTTTTCTGTAGTTACTGTAAAAGCGACCAATTTTGCCAAACATTTTTTGATTATTAAGCCCATCAAATCTTTTACATGTGAAAATGTGGGAAGAGTTGGTAAGTTTCCAGTAAGGATCAAGGGGACTTCCAAAAGAAAGCGAGCACAAACGGCACTTCGATCTGAAGAAAGTCGAGATTGATTCGTGCCGAGCCATTCGCGTTTCTTTGCATAAAGCCTTCATAAAATCATGACTATTCCTACTGCGGTCTTTGCGCCCTCAGCATTACAAGAGCGTAAGACGTTTAGGCGAAAAGTATTTGTAGCTCAGCTCAGCCACTTCAACTATCTAAGAGTTATCATATGTATGCATAAAAATCTGAATAAAAATTCAACAAAATGTGGTTGTCAAAAATGCGAACGCGACTCACGCATCGCGCCCGTGTCGCGATTTCATAATTGCTCCATGTAATGTGAAGGCTTCAAATAAGATGTCTTTGAGAGGTCTACGATTAAAACACTGTATATGCACAATAAAGAGATCACTTGCAAAGTTTAGCATGAAATAATTCAAGTAATATTCAAAACAGTCCAAAACATGTCGAAGATTACCATTTTCCTGTAGTTGTGTGTATAGAAAAGAGTCTTATTGCAGATTTATTGAAGTTTAGACTGCTACAATAACTATTTATATCGCGAAAGGCGAGTGGTATAGAACTGTTCACAGTGCAGGATCAAAGTAATCAACTCCAGTTGAAAAGTTCTTACTCTCCGGAAATGACAAGGACCATAACAGGTAGCGGCTGTTGCGCCACTTATGCTTACATCGGTAAATCGGCTTACACGCATTCAATGCATCTGTTACAAATATAAGGGATTCCTCTTTAGCTGAAACGGCCAATTAAGACGAGATGTATGTTGCTGAGCTCAGTGATGAATGCTGACCTCAAAACAGCAATCCTTATCTGCGAAACGCTTTTTGAAGAATTCGCAAGTTTGACCGTGCTCGCATTTCACTTGCTATAGAAGCATTGCAGTACGTCCAACTTTCTTCAAGATAGCGTTTCGTAGAAAAGATTGTAATTATGAGATCAGCATTTATCGCCGACTTGAGCAACATTCTCATCTCAAAAGGACTCCGACAGGGTATTTATCGTTTGAACAAAGCAATGCATAAGTACAGAAATTAAACAGGACATTGCCAACTTTTAACGAAACTCGGTATGCACAATGATCAAATATTGAAGCATATGTGATGTTATACTCTATAAAATAAATCTATGATTCTTATTCTACCGATCGTTTTTATGGACTAACACGAAGCATACATCAAAAGGCAATACTCTATACATGAGCCACAGTGCCATTCTTCTGCATCTCTGTGCAAATAACTTTTATTTCTTAGGTTTTAATCACAATGTACATAAATTATGGCATTATATTACAAAAGTAACCAGGAAAGACAAAGCGCGACCGCGACGTAAACATGTTTCGAGCAACTTGTACACCTCAGATTCATTTCTTGGACACACATTGGGCTCACTTCTTGTGCTCTTTGAGCAATGTTTGTGGCTGCTCCACAAGCTGCTGCACCTGCATCAGCGGAACATTGTTCAGTCAGTGATTGCTTGACGCAATCTACGGCAGCTATTGCTCGTCTGAAAGATACTGTTACTTCCATGTATGAAAATCAATTTTATTAGTTTGGAACACAAGTCTTGCATCATGATTTTGGAGAATCGTAAGTTTGTCCGAATTCAATGAACGGGAAAGAAAGTCATGCGGTTACCGTTAGTGCTTGGAGCAAAAATAGTTGTTATTATGTGGCGAAGATAAAAGTTTACAAACACAAACTTTCAACTTATGTTTTTGGTGATTGGCAAAAATGGTTGAGAAGGAGCAACAGCTAGTTTCACTTTCGGTTTAAAGGCATTGTCTCAAAATGATCTCGCGCTCCGGTTTTCCATCTTTTCAGAGCCTTTTCGCCATGCTGAACCCATATCTGAGCTTGCAGCGTACAAAAATGACGAAAATGAGTTTTTTCGAAGCTCTAGTCCGCACTTGCTGCAAAATACGTGTAAACGGGCGTGGTCCGGAACGAATGGGTTGAGTCTGTTAGACTTCCAAAGTGGATTTCAAGCTTCCCAGAAGAGCTTTTTCGCTCCAGACTTCACTAACACATTAGTTGAGGGGAATGCCACTGCAACATTTCAAAATCCCAATGACCATCATTTTGCCGGAAAGCTGCCTTCAAGTTTTATGGCTTACTTTTTTTTCAAGAGTTAAATTCGTGATTTCTCTGCGAAAAGTTGTGACCCTTAAGAGATTTACTCAACTGCGAATTTAGATTCAGCTCAGATTAGAATTTCTAACATGCATGATAAAACACCACATATGTTGTCTACTCGAAAAAAGTACACATTGAATTGGTTGCACAAGCGTCTGAGTGAATTTTTCTCCAAAATATGTGGAAGAAGACCCATGTTCCGACCTCGTAGCAATACAACTTACGAGCACATGTCCGCAGATTCGGGTAAACAGGTGGTAATCCTCTGTGTTAGTGGTTGAACCGTTAGCGCCCTCGACAAGCAATCGTGATCGGCAAGAAATACTGAAAAAAATTAGTCTTGGTAGCATCCCCAGTCCACACGGGAAACGCACGTGGTTTCCCAGGGCCACATGCATATTCAAAAATCGCATGGTTTTGAACGTAAGCTACGGCTTCCTCATTCACTCTTCCATACCACTGTGTGAACCGCTCGAAGACTGGTATTGATATGCAGTTGTAAGAAACGAGACGAAGGCATACCATTAATTCATCAAAGTCCCTGGAAACATTCTACTGCATATAGTATACAATTAAGGTTATGACAGCAAAGGTACTGTTTAACGATCTCATGGCTACGACCCAAAAACACTATGATCTGACCCTAAATTATGATTAACTAGCTGTCTTGCCCGAATTCGCCCGCACCCTTGACCTAACTGGTTCAATAAAGACATAAGGTGCCAACTTTTGAGGCTGAACTTATCTGCATTTGGCTTTCTTCTTTTTCTCGAGTAGCGCCGGATAGATGTTAACTGATCAATTGTCTTCATTACAGCTCTCCCTCGTCGTGAAACGTAAATGAGTTCTACGACTATTGTTAACACGAAAGTTGGAAGTAGCCTGATAGCAGTTGATAAGAATCCTTTTTTCTCAAAATCGATAGATCAATAGGAGTGGGAATTTCGCCGCGAAAAGTAGAACCACCAGCACGGGGTGGATCGGCGTCGAAAACATATGTGTGCAAAGTTTGGCAGTTATCGATCCACACACAAAAATTTCTATGAAGAGCACACTAACTAACAATTTTCCATCACTCAGCTTTGTGTATGTATAGAATAGCTTTAGTTTTCAGCTGACAAATTACAAGGAAACTAACTTTGCACAAGTTGTCCTCCAGGTATGGTAAGAACAAGAAGATAGGTACAGCTGGACAGAAAACTAAATGCCGACAGGCTCCATCCAACCTGCACGGACGGCTGGTACAAAGCTGAAATGCCTACGACGCGCGGAGCTGTGCGCTTTGTCGCAGATGTCTGACCACTCCTTTTCGGCGACATATAGTCTCTCACACGGTAACTGATAAATTACAAGGTGTAAAAAATGAAAATTGTGTCTTTTGCCCTTAAAACACCCGTTGAGTTATTTCCAGTCAGACTATCTAATAAACGGCTGCTTTCCCTAACGAAATTCCCAATTTTCAAGTTCATTTGCTGCCATTTGCATTTGTCATATGATTCTGCTAGAGCTCTATTGTAGGTTTAAATGCATCAAGGGCCATGAGATTGTATAGTGCTAACATCAGCTCTCTATGATGAAGCTTAGCTGATTGTAAGAAGGCTTCAGTGTTGCTTCAATAATGTGTGAGGAATGGGGATTGCTTGAAAACAGCTGTACCAGCTAGCTTTTCGTGACCTGAGGAATCGAAATAATTGTTTATACAATACTGACAAGGAACCATAGCGTTCAGTGCTAGCAGTATGCAAGTATATACAGTCGCTTCATTTCATATAATCATATGTGCCATTGCACACACAGTCCACTTTGGCGTCCGCATCCTGGATTTGCAATCGCAAAAACGCAAGAGACTTACTGATTGTTATCGGTTACATCAATTTGAGGTGACTAGTAACTAAAAAGGAAAGAAAATGCTAAGAACACCTTGGAAACACTTACCTGAAGGCTTGTTTCTCCCACGAATCCAGGATGGGGACGCCAAAGGTGAACTGTGTGTGCAATGACACACATGCATATGAAATGAAGCGACTGTACACAGGGCTGTGTTTTCGAAAGCGTGATTATGAATTCAGAATGGCGGTGCATGGGAGCTCATATCGCTTTCATTATTCTTTTTAGATTTTGTTGTTTACGCACAATAACACGATGAGAAATTGATTTCATACCTTTTCTTTTCCTAAGGATCCTATGCGTGATCTCAACGTCCAGATAATGTGCAGTTGCACACATTAGCAAAGACAACAGCTTGACTGTGAGTTTTGATGTACAAGTAATTCGCTATACCCTCAAGCATGCTACAAATTGTAAAGACATGAAATGTTGCACGACTAGTGTTTTTGAATAATGGCTTCAGAATATTTTGCTTATATAACATACCGGGGATCCCAAAAATTTACCGAACGTTTGGTTGCTATAATCCTTGTGTGAAATACCCTTCGAGAACTTTTGAGTCCCATACTTCAAAGGTGGCTTAAATTTGGACTTTCAACACAAAATTAGCCATTCATCTCTCTTCAATGCTGTAGGATTTCTCAGCACCATGTCGTTATTGTAAAAGAGCTATTTCAGTAAACTTCCAAAACGTCTCGGTACTATTATGTATGTCGGCGTTTTAAGGCCCGCCCAACTAGTAAATAACTGCACTCTGTAGAGCAGTTTAGTTGGTATAATCATTTTAATGTATACAAAAAGAGTGTTGTGCAGACTTACCAGCCTTACCAGCCAAACTAAGATTCCGGTGAAGCGAAAAGCTCATATAAAGAGTGTTCCAAAAAATGTGCGCGCTGTTTGACCGTTAATAGCTCTCTTGCATCAATGTCTTTCGGCGATCTTCAGCCACCTCTTATGTAAAGCTTATGTAGCGTCAACTTAGATTTACAGTATAGAACAATCCACCAATCACTCTTCGTTACTGTGTGATTATGGTGGGAACTTCCGCCGTAAATTGTGAGATAGGCCATCTGACAAATTTTTTATTCAAAAAAATATGAAAAATTGCGTAGGAGGGTATTCACGTGGATTCATTTCATTTAATAGCTTCTTGCGATTTTGGGCTTTTCAATGGTGTAATCACATATCTGACAAACACTGGAAAAACGCTCGTCACTGTCTACCTGGAATAACTTAAAGCATTAAATCAGCGACCTTATTGTAGAAAAATTTTTGGCTGGTTTGGTTGTCTTATCGGTGCAAATTACGGTCACAATGGCCTAGAATCCTCACGAACCATCATCCTACAACAAAGTTGCCGACGATTCGCTCCATACTGTAAACCTAACATAAAGCTATAGCCTCAACATAATGATAATTGGCGAAGGACAGTGATGCAAAAAAAGTTATTAATGATCAAAATGTGCACATTTTCTGAGACACCCTGTATAAAATCAGCAACGCTTACTAACCTGGTAACACAATTTCCAGCTTTTCGGACAATTTTTTGGCAACTTGTGCTCCCACTGATGCAAAAATCTTTCAAGGGTTCTTAAGATAATTTTATGATGACAGAGAAAGATCGTGATCCCATTTTGTGAATTTAGTTTGAAGCCAACCCGATATGGTAAATATAGTTCAAGGTAGTTCAAAAAAGTGATTTAATAATAATCCAATGTTTGACACAATTGGGGACATTCTGTGTGCGTTAAAAATCTGACTTTGAATCGATTAAGTTTGCAAGATTCAAGTTGCTCCCCGCAAGCGTACTCTGCAATTGCAAAATTCTAAAAATACGCTTTCACGATGTATCGTTTATGTTTCTTGCACTTAGATAAGAAAGCGTAAAGTAAACGGTACACCTTGTTTGGCATCGTTTGTGTGTACGCATGCTCCACAGTATTTGTGCCCGGCCGTGATGACTAACATTGGACACATGAGATGCCCGTTCAAATCTCGGAATCATGCGTGACTCATCTACTTATACCATTGAACTTGTCAAAGTTTTAATCATATTTTGCGCTGTACAGGATTTGTACTGCCTTGCACAATATCGAAACTATAACGCTAAAGACAGCTTTTGAAAGATGTGTAGAATAATCGCTTACCTACATATATTCACTAATGGCATATTCTGCAATTGCGCATTTAATCGAGCAAATCCCGGAAGATAATACGGGCCAGAGTGTATACCATATTTCTCCAAATATGTCACATAGCAGTCATGAACGGTCTGAAAATTTTGCATTGTGCGAGCAGTTATAAGCATGGGATTTATGTTTCAGTATTTTCACTATTCGTCACTATTTTCCTTAGTATCACTGAGTTTTCAAATCTTTGCACTAATTTTTTTCGCTCAAATTCGCGTAATAGTGATTTTAACCAATAGGTGTTCGATAAAAAGTTGTTCCTCCCTCGCATTCGATTTTACAGAGCGCATCTTGCTTAATACTCATGTTAGCAAGTTGTACAAACTCCTACATACTAAACATATCAATGGATTGTCTGGTTTTAAATTACTATTTTCTGAAATCAAAACAAGCTCTGATAACTTCTTCACTATATGCTAAGATCAAAATGACTGTCCAATGATTTTCATTATTCCCTGAAACGAAAACATTGTTCCGAGAAGAAATCTGCACATATATCATTTTCTATCTTTTCTCTCACTCAGAATTTTCGAAAAGAACGTGCACTACAAACATTATATAAATCATTCTTAGCTTTCTGTAAAGTTCTGGCTTGATCAACGCTGTACATTGAATGTAAGAAATGCCCAAGAATTGATCGCTTCTGAAAAGCAGCGTTCGAAGTTTCAGCGCTACGCTGGTGGTAGAATGTGGACTGCAGTCTCTTTGCAAGAATCTCAGTAATTGAGTTGAATGTAATGAGGGACAAGTCCCTTTTCGACTTGTTCTAGGATATTACTGCGATTACATATTCAGAAGTGCACAGATTGTAGATTGAACATTTGCGAAACCAAGTAAGACTAATCAAGCGCCGCAGCTAACTATGCAGCACATCAGAGGAAAATAATAATTTTCTAAAGTAATGTCAAAATACGAGAGTTTGCATATTGCTTTTTGGCACTAGATCCAAGAAATTTAGGTTATATTTAGAGAAAATCAAAGCAAAATAGCGTGGAGTGATGCTATCATGAGATTTTTCGATTGAGAAACGGGTGTCGGCGATAAAACCTTTACGAACAAGCAATAGTAATATGTTGAGATATGTGTTTTGGCGGGTAAATTAGCTGGATCTGATGATGAAAAGCATTTGAGATGGTCAATTCAATTAGCGCTAAAATGCATTGAATGAGGTAAGAAAATAAATAGAATTACGAGCTATACTAGTGGTTGACTCCTTACCTGTGGTGTCGTACAAACTGGATCGTCTGCGTATCGCTTTTGAGGAGGGGCAGCAGGAGGAATTGGAAACTGAGCTTGAGTCGAGGGTAATGCTATTATTGTAGCTGTAATAAGTAACAAATGCGAGCTGCTAAAATTTTCAGGCCTTTGCAAAGCCCTCAACCGGATAGAGAGAGTGTCTAAGGCCCCGAACAGACTTCACGCGACTTGATCGTCGCGATTCGCGATTTCCATTCATTTCCATTTTACAATCAAAAATTTCTGGCTGGAAAAGTATCACAACCGAATGCAAGTTGATTGGCATGGAATGATGTTGTAACAGTTGTCTTCCCGCGATTCAGTCCCGACGATCAAATCGCGTGAAGTCTGTCCGGGGCCTAAAAAATGTCCCCACTGTACGATCGTATATCCCTTTTATACTGATACTTTCGCCACTATTTAGGCTATCTTTCATAGCTGGATTCATCTTGGATTTACTGAACGAAGCGGCACATTGCTCTTGTGCTGTATGGAGAAAGGTGAACTTGTAAATTAGCTGCTGTCCCAGAAAACAACACTCAACGCTTTTATGGTGAAGCAGAGGCACTGACTCGAGCAAATGATTTGAACATTTTTGACAAGCAATTCAGATGGTGCAACAGCCACAAATCTTGGAAGTATCTGTTTTAAGGTATATTTTTCTTCGACATATAAATTCCAAATTGAAGCCAGCTCTACAGAACGATACTGAGAACTGGAGAAAGATTCGCAGCTGGAAAGTTATCAATGTCAGACAGTGGGACATCTCTGGGACACCCATTTTCTGGCAAACATTTATAAAAGGTGAAATAATGTAACTGAATTTTGCCGAATCTTTTCAAATTCTCGATGAAAAGAAAGTGCAAATTGTAGCTATTAGACAAACATCTAAAAATCAAACAGCAAACAAAATACCGTCTATCCGCAAAATATCGAAAAAAAATGCTCACCTACAACAAACAAAACATCCATGGCGATCAATGTTGGGCTTCGAAGAGTTTAGCTGGTATTACAGTCGCTGAAAAGAGGTAAGCGCGGGTGCTGAGTAATCGCAAAACCCGTTCATGGCAACAATCGTATCCATATGACGCGAAAAAAAAGAGATTTATACGAAGTTTAGCCGCATTCATTCTGATCCATACAAATCTCATAGCAAAAGTAAGACGCTTTCGGGACTGTCAGCGATGAAAACGAATTTCGGGAAACGATCGGTGTTCAGAGCTCTTCTACAGCGATGACGAAGTACTCATCGACTATGGTGTAAGGTATTCTTCACGATTATTTGCGCAAACCTGACGCATTCACGCGCTTCACTCGACCGACAATACCGTATCATCGTTCAAACACTCGCCAAGAGCGATGTGACTCACTATGTCCTTCGTAAGTTCTCTCTCATTCATATCGTGGTTGCATATTTATTCAGTCTTTTGTGAGTTTAACACACAGTCAACAATGAATATCACATAAAGAATAAAATGTTCAACAAGCGTTCGGTCGAACGATTGGATGCAGCAGAATTTTTCGATGCGGAAAGATGATCTGCAAGAGATTTGTAACGGTTCTGTCATGAGTCAATCATTCAAAACAAAATAACTTGATTTTGTAAGAATATCCGAATGCGGCGAAATGTTGTAGATAATTTTGCTTACAGATGAAGCATTTGTTTTTTTTGTGAAATCTAAAAGACCTCAGAGCTTGCTGTGAAATACATAAGCCCTTGAAAGCCTATTTCAAAAGATGTATGAAAAGCTGACGATGCACAAACAATGCACGGAAAGCAGAGCAAAAAAGGCCGCTTCATCGGTGCTGCGAGAATTAAAGCGAAGATCAAAAGCAAAAAATCGTATAAAAAATAAGAATAGGTCAAAAGTTAGATACTTTGAAAATAACTATCTGAGAGCTTTTGACTAGCATACAGAAACTCCTATTATCTTGCTGAAGTAAGAAGATCAAGCTTTGGAAAAAGCGGACAATTTACAGAATTTTAGGTTACGCAACAACGTAACCCTTCATGAACAATCTGGCAGAAACACGATATAAGTTTTCCTTTATCATTTCAATCTGTGATCAGCTACGAGGCACTGCAATGCAGAGATGATTTTCAACAAAAAAGCCGACTTTTGCTAATTTAATCTATCTTTATGATATAACGGGATTCAACAAACTTCGTACTCGATCGTAAGAAAATTCTGAGAGCCTATCAACCCATTAAGGATTTACAGGAACCCATTCATAGTTCCGATAATAAAAGTGCAGGCTCCACAGATCCATTTTTGGAATATTCTAACTTTTTCAGTATGACTCAGTAACCAGTCAGTCTCGATATCCACAAGTGGGGCAATCTGGTTTTTAGCTGGACTCCCGTTTCATTCCGCTGCCCTCGTAGTACCAGTAAAACTAGCCTACTCGCTATGAAGTTAGCCAAAACAAAATCAAATGCTGCTCCGCGGAGGAGTGATCGGCGAAGGAAAACTTCAAAATTCATAGGAAAGGAGAGTATTACAAGGATATTGTCGAATACTGTTTGGGTAAACCGAGTTTAACCGAAATTGTATAGTAAAAAGGGCAAGACTGAATATAAATGTGGAACTGGAGAAGAACATGCGCCTGTGGTAAAGACCAACGCAACCAGGAATCAGACTTTGTGAGCGGAAGAGAACAAAACTTCTACGTTATGTTGTTTAGAGAACTTTTCACTCCAGGTATAAATAGATATAGAGAGAAAAATTGTCCTTTTGGTCGACTTCTAGCTCAAGTATATCGAATTAGATGGCAGCACGACGAGCCTGGAGTTTTTTCCACATAGTGCTACTGCTGCCTGGAGTTTTGTGACAACAGGTTCTACTTTCTGGCAGCATCCTGCGTATGTTGATACTTCTTTTGATATCTTCCTTGAAAAAAGTAAGGGCACAATGGGCGCATGCAAACAGAGTTTGCTCAGAGCCGAAAGGTAATTCAAGTATACGCACTCGAGAGTACCTTCAGCAAGTACAAAACTGTAATACCGAGTAACTGCAGCAACATTGGATCTACGTCAATCTTCATCTTCTTAGAAAGTAGAAAAGAATAACGAAAGCGATTCGCGCATGAAAATCATTCAATATACGAAAGCATTGTTTTCTACACGACTGCGAGTCAGTCATTCGAGTTTTTATTTATTTATATATTATTAGGTCATTCCGAAAGTAATTTCACTTTTGAATAGACGCCACATGTGATGGAACAAACATTTCAAAGAGATCTTGGTAGCATTCGATGCAACATTTCATCCTTTTCTTAACAGTAGTGAAAGTTTTGCAGCTCAAATATTGAGTTTTCGAAAAATAATAAAAACCTGCAATCCATGCTTTTTGAGATTGTCAAGTTTCACAATTCTTCAAAACTTTCATATCAACCCTCAGAAGGAGCCCAAATAACGATTAGATAGAGCAAACCTTATAGGATACAGCACAACTTTTTTTCATAGCTCGCCGTATTTTTTGAAAGATTTTTTTGCCAAAACCATCGGATTTTGGCAAGCCTATGTCAGTCACAATCGCATCAAGCATCAGTAATTACTCGGAATTTGAAGCTTCCAAGATGATATATAACTTAAAGTTGATTTTATAAAGCAAATGAGAGCTTACGGATTTAAAATGATGAACTTCGAGTTTTTCGGGTACAGCCTTGGGCGCGCTCAAAAACATGAGTTATGAAGATTTTATCCCCAAGACTGAACAAATCGGAAACAAAAAACGCCTATTAGAAAGAGGAGAGAAAGCTGCATCAAACGGCACCCGAGCTGCTCCCTCATTGATGTTCTACGAGATTTGAATTGACCAAGTATGAAAATTGGTAGCATCAGTTGAAATTTTATTAAAAAATTTGAAGAGGTATGTGAAGGAGAAAAAAATTGATTTGTATCCTGTAGGGTTTGCTCTATCTAATCTGAGGTTTGATATGAAGGTTTTGAAAAATTGTGAAACTTGACCATTTCAAAAAGCATGGGTCGCAGACTTTCCGAAAGCTCAATGACTGAGCTGCGACGATTTCGCTACTGTTAAAAAGAGGATAAAATGCTGCATCGAATGCTGCTAAGACCACTTAGAAAACACTTCCTTCAGATGTGGCGCCCCTTTGAAAAATGCGAAATTACTTTCGGAATGACCTAATATTATCTATTATTTATTTATTTATTTTTATTTCGAGTATTTCATAATCTACAGCTTTCTGTGGCAACTCTTATCTAAGTTTCACAATACCTTCAATTTTTAAGAGTGATCTCATATCCGAATCTCCAGGGAGACTTTCTCTGAGAAACTTGCGACGTTTTTCCAAGAACTTTTGGAGTAATAAATGTTAAAGATTCTATATTTATTCATCCAAAATCAAAACAAGAGCACTTCAATGAATTATTGGTCTTCTAGGATTTGCATATCGAAGACATTACAAAAAAGGTTTCAGGTTCATTCTAAAAGGTTTTTTTTCAATAGCAACCGCAATTCAGGCACTTAAAAAAGTACTGAAAAATTATTTAAGAAAGTACTGACTTATAAGCAGATTGGAGTGCTACGTGAACACTGGCCGGATCACAAATCTAAAACGTTCTGCAGATCTTCGCTTTACCTATTTTATACACAGCGTTTTTGGCTGTTTTAGCAACATTTGGAGTTCTAAAAAAGGCCTCGGAGTTCGTCGGAGATTGCCGAGATTCCTATAGTGTTCCCGTAAATTAATTTTTTTAGATCCAAGGGAATATCCAAATCAGCTCGACTACTGATGTAGAATATCTATTCAAATGCGGTCATTATACGGTAGTTAGTGGACAACTTCTGCCAGTGTACAAGGAGCTTTTTAGATTTCCGCTTACGGTAGTTTACCTAATGTGCTGACAATAACACTTGTATGCATCCTACTACCGGAAACTAACTACCACTCAAGCTTATCGTACCAGACAGGCTTTCCAGTATAAGAAAATGACTGTACTGACCTGAGTCGAAAGTTACCCATGGACTAGAGACAGTCCACAATTAAGAGAGGTATCGATGCGAGAAAATTTCGACAAATTGAAAAAAATCAAATCAAAAGAATTAGAATCAAATCTCGACGATTCAAATTTATTTTTCACAAATTTTAAGCAGTGTCCTTACATTCTAGTATGCAAACTGTGATGGGATTAAGAAACGTTGAATTTGCTTTCTGCCAAAAAAAATGAGATACGACCACGCACTTTTACAGAAAATCCGATGAAGCTGCTCCGAGCTACGCGCTACAAGTAACTCTAGTGGAAATTAATATGGGATCATTGCTCTAGAGCCGGACACTTGTGCAAGACTAGCTCGCTATGTCCCGCGTCTACTGGAAATGGGCATCGCTGAGTATGCTCCAGACATACAGGCCTCACCTCAAAAAGGCATCTGAGAGCTTCTCAACAAGTCTTTGGCAAATTTGTGTGAGGTAACTATGTACTTTTTAGAGCGTTTATAAATGTATGGCATCAGAACAGTCTCCGTTGAACGCTAGCGAATAGAAGTGAAGAAAGATAGTTAAGATTATAGAAGAAAGCAAACAAGCACTAGTTGCATCCAATAGCATAGCAAAGCAGGGGGAACGAAGCTTGGGATGACATGAGAGCGTCAGCAGTAAAAGTTTAACGGCATGAAAAGAAATAAGAACTAATTATTGCCTAGAAATATAGCAGCAAGCACAACAGAAGTCACCAACTAATCAGTGCTCTATGATTATCTCTGGCTAGAAAACTCCAAAGAATGTGTGCAGAAAAGCAAAAACTCAACCAACTAAGCATATACTTGATAATTCGATGGGGGTGGAGGGGGGGGGGCATAGGACGTGAACAGATCTTTTCTTGATTTCATACCTTGCATTCTAAGCTTTATTCAGAACACAACAAAGGAGAGGCGCATTCTAAGCTTTATTCCACAACAAAGGAGAGGCGGGAGCGGGGGAACTGAGGTCAAAGTGTGCCAGGGAGGCGCACGAACCTAAACTACCTAAACTACGATCGCCAAATTTTGAAGTTTTTACGCCTATAAGTTGTGCATGACGGTGGCGTACCATACCCTCCCTCCCCCTTCCCCCTCGGGAATGGTCGTCAAATATTCAAAAGTTATATGCTTCATAAAAATGTGCGAGTAACTCGTCTATGCTTGTAAATAATTAAAACAAACTTCAAAATTTTCAAAAACTCAAATAGTAGAAAAAAGATTTTTTGGGGCAGCCAAGACCACTTTTTCTGGAAGTTTTAGATCCTGGGCTTTTTTTGGAATGCAATTTAAATTTTGGAATGCATCTCAAAAAGATGGGTAGTAGGTGGCTAACGCCTTACCCGAAAAACTTTTTCGTCTCCCCATTCCTCCCCCCCCCATCCCTTCCCGAACGGATATCTCGCGAACACTACTGGTGTAAGTGAATTTTTGCTTGTAACGTATCAGTTGCTTATGACGTTAGCTTTGCATGGAACTTTTCAGTCTTTGCAGAAATGTTTGAATTGGAGACCAACTATAATTTTGGAGGCAACATAAAAAAAGTTTCAAAGGTGTTGCAGGTCTAAAACAGCCAACCCACAAATAGCAAAACTTGCTTAAAACAAGGCTATTTATTCCACTGGTTGTAAATAGCTGTCATAGCATAAGCCTCAAGCCTTCTGTGATAAACTTAAACCTCAGGCTTGACCTCACTTTGGCTGTCCACACTGATACGGAGAAGAAGGCAAAGTCAATCGGAATCATTGTGTGTAGAAACTTTGCCAAGTTTTTTGATCATTCATTCGGAACACTCTGTATGTTCCCTTTTCAATACCCAGATTATATTTTTGTAGGTAAAGTCGTAGAACTTCGCTGTAAGAGAGTATAACGCAAAAACACGATGCCCTCAATGAAATGTTTTCTCGCAAAGTCTCTCATTGAACTCCGGACATTCGTTTTCCCCACTCATCCACCTCCCTCTCTTGTCTTTCGTTTGTAATTTGTCCTGTTACTAAGAATGTTTCGGATATTTGTGTCAATAGCGGGATTACAGTTTGCGAGAAAAATAGTTGACGTACCTTAAGAGCTTCTTCTCTTCGTCGTCTCGATGCAGCGGCTTTTCTTCGCAAATAGTAGCATGTAATCAACCAAAGAATGAGAACTATGACTGAACCCATGCAGCCGAAGAAGATCTAGTATGAAACAATTATTTACAATTCAGCATGTTCAGAGCTTAAAAAATGCTATAACCTGTTCTCTGATCCTGAAATACTCTGCTGAAAACGCGCTATCTGATGGTTTCTAAATAGTGATGATATAAAGAGGATGACTAATAATTTTGAAGTGAATACCCAGCGATAATAACTGCTTTCGCCCCAATGATATGACTTATAGTACTTGCGTATATTCTCAATCAACAAATCGTTATAGTTTTTGAGCACTTCCTTAGCCCCATACTGTGTTTTATCTGCAGTAGGTTTCGGAAATTTATCGCACTGCAAAGTGAAAAGTACCTGGAGAAGCTTTTTCTTCACGCGGTTCACCTCTGCATGGTAAGAAGCATTTTTCTATTGCAATGTTCTTCTGTAGAAAAAAAGTTACAAATCTGTTGAATGTTCAAAAAAACCTTTAGCTTACATTTCTTTGCACATAGCACCATGGGCCGATGTTGGTTGACTTCATAAGGTGTTTCATAGGATGATTAGCAGGAAGACTCAGACGGCGACATTTGTTGTGCGGCATAAATTCTTCAGCTACCGCAGTCCTGCAACATGACAATGATTATTGCATATATATATATATATATATATTTTAGAACAGCAACTGGTTGATGGGTAATGATCAGCTCTTGATCAGCTTGTATCGTTACCATATGTCAGCCAAGAATTTCAACTTAAGCAGAAGCGGGAAAAGCAGGGTCTTCTCTCTCTCTCTCTCTTTCTCTCTCTATCTATCTCTCTCTATCTCTCTCTATCTCTATCTCTATCTCTAACCCTATCTCTATCTCTATCTCTATCTCTATCTCTAATATTAGGTTGTAATGAAAGTCCCGGGCAGTTTTGGAAATTTCATTTTCAGACTTGTTTTTTTCGCACTCACTTGCATCTTAAGAGCAATATCTCATATGGTTCCGTAGAAGAAAGCCTAAGCTTTCCAGACTCGCATCCAGTTTTCATAGTTGTCAAACCGTATTTGACCTAACACACCAAAAGAGAAGGTCTGTGCAACGATGAAGATTTCACAATTTGTCTTTTTGCTGCCATTTTGTCGCAGCGAGCAAAGAAGACAATTTAAGCGTTGGTAACTCTGAATAAGGAGGCTATCCACTTCGACACTACAGCTGTGCTCGGATTTTACAACACGCGCACAAAACTACAAGCTCTCAAACTTGCTTTCAACCGTCCCTGTTTTCGCAGTTGGGGCCGATTTGTGTGGATCATCACGATACAGTGATGGACTCAGAAGATGTGCGAGTTACCCTAATAATACTAACAGCAATCAAAGATTTGATACATTCCGTGGGAAGAAGCAAGACTTCAAACTGATTTACTCTAAAAATCAGCCATTTTTGGGGTGCAAAAATGGCCGATTTTTCAATTTTTTCGAGGAAATTTTTTTTACACGATGTGCTCTAAAATTGTGACACAGTCTATAAACAGCCCCAGCAGAGTTCTATACACAGCTAACGAGTGTGAGCTCTCCAATTCTCTTCATGCCTGAGAAATTTCCAAGCTGAATTTTGAGTCAACCTTTTTCTCTACTGCGCATGCTGGTGACCCGAAATGAAGTGCTCAGGACCCAACAAAATAGGCATACCTTGTAGACAACATTGCCTTTGCATCAATTCGCAGCTCTCAAAAAGGAGCGGTCTGCTTGAAGTTACAGCAGTTTGGAAAAAAAATTTGGAAGTGCCCGGAACTTTGTTTACACCTAATATGCATTGTGTCAGAAGCTGGAAAAATTAAGGAATTTTTGAAATTTGGTGCAAGTATGCATCGACGTAATAAAATGCAATTCTCTAAAGATTACACCTAAATCTTGCGCGAAAGAATGCCTGCTTACACTTGAGCGCAAAATTTCACCTTAATAGTAACTTTTGATCAGAAAGAAGGCGTGCGGGCAGCGTGGATTGCGAGTTGATCTCGGTGATCCTAATAATTAGCTCTCCCACAAAACGTTGAGCACTTTCAAGTCACATACTTTGTTTGGTATTCTTGTAATTCATCAGGCTTCTCATCGAGACTTTTGATGATGCTGTCATAGACGGTCTTCCATTCGAGGCAATGTTCCCCTCTGATAGTGTGGTCGCGGTTTCCTGGAAGAATGCTGAAAACACTTTCCATTGTTTTATCCGTCCCTAAAAGTCTGATAAAGGGTTGGAAATCGAAAGACATCAAAATCAACATTCTTCTTTCTTAACCCGTAAACAGACATATATAAAAGGATAGATATGGTACGTATATGAATATGGCTTACCCAAATAAGTGTAGGTTCCCATGTCTTGTGCTAGAATACAGTCAGCTTCTGCAAAGTGAGATTTATTATTGCCATGATATTGCAAACTTCTACTTTTCTCATCTCCAAATTCGTAGTAGTTTCCACCATCATAGAGAGAACAATATGTAGACACTATGATAGAACAAATCACTAGCAATATGAGCATGAAAATGAATCAAAGGATTGAGAATATCCATGCTAAACACGTTATCGATACTTGAATATACTTGCAAAAACGTAGTTATTTTCTCGTAGAAGACACTGCCCCTCTAACATTTCCGTTGAAAACATTGAAAATTGATATTACTGCAATAAGAATATGACAGTACCCTATGTTTAATTTATCATGCGTGGGTAGTTTCTTGTCAATTGTTTATGTTCAGTAAACGAAGTCTTGGCTAGAATTTTGGAGCTTATGGTTAGTTTCAGGCAACCTAATGGGACATTGAGCAGTTTAAGATTGCAGAAAAAAAGATAAAGACATGAGAAAGAGAGAATGCGAGGGAAGCGCAGCCTTATGCATATCATTTTTAGAACATGTGAATCAACAGCAACAAAAAAGATGAACGGGGGCAGAAGCCACCTTACTTGATTTTTGGATTATTAGAAGTGTGTTTTTGGCTCAATCCTGAAATTGTCTTCACATGCAAAACATGACATTATGTCAATTTACAGCATGAAGAGGTCAACATAGATTGACCATTAGATTCCTCACCTATTTTGATCCACTTCGAGCAAATAACAATCGCGAGGTCATGGGTGCGACTCTGCAGCTCAATATTAAGGTAGGAAATATTGTATAATGTCTTTATTTGAATTCCATTGCAACGGAGGCTCAAAGTTTCCTGACTCCCTAGACCCCAAAAATAAAAGCTATGCGTGGTTCGGATCACCGTCCATCATTTGTAGGAATTACTCAATTGTTACCAAAATAGCGATAATTAACATAAAAAAAGAAATTTCTGCACAACACACCTACTAGATACTCGTTTATTATGATAGTTTTGAGTTGCTGGAAATGTATATACGGGAAAAGAATCAACTTATTTTCCGCATTATCGCTCATATAAGCATTTCCCATAATTTTATAAAGATCCAACCGTACTTGCGGAAAGAAAGTGACTCTTATCTTTGAGAACTATAGCTGATTAAAATGTTTCGGCATTGCTTCTGTTTCATATAACATAACTTCCGGTAATCTGTACTGAATCTGATGGCATTAGTTGAAAGCAAAACTTGTGTAGGTGTAGGTAAATTAAGCATTTCGAAATGACTCTGGGACAAGAGAGTTACGGTAAATCAGACTGCACAGCTTGGGGACACCCTTTATATCCACGAATATTCTCCAGGTAATAGTGCGTATACCCATTTCTGCACTACAGTGACCAACTGCAAACAGTTGCGATGGTCAGATGTGTCCTCATGAGATGACGCGGGTGTGGTAGCAAACAAATCCTTGACAGATGTCATTTCACGGGTATAAAAGGAGTGATGTACTCACTCATTAAATTCATTATGGCTCATTCGAACTTCCCAACCTATTCTGATCCTCTTCAACTAAATACCAATAGCGAGGTCAACGGTGTGCCACTCTGCGGATAAAAATGTCAAGGTAGGAAATCTGATCAGTTCTCCGCACTATGCGCAAAACTGAAAAGGTTTTTTACAGGTGAAAACCTATCATACTATGGAGAACACTTCTGAAGTTGTGCGAAGACAGGGAAGGATACGCTCGAAGTTCTCTGCATCACCAACACTCGGACGAGGAAGTCTTCGAAAAAACTGACGAGCATGAAGTTGAACCTGAAATGAGAACGCAAGGCCGGACGATAGCTTTGGAGCGACTTATAGAATAAAGCCTTCTCAGTTCAGATGAAGTATTATTGTATCAAATGGTTGACATTTTCTTCCGTTTTCTTTGAAAAATTTGCGGATGAATTGTGCAGTTGTGTCGGAACAGAGAATAACACGAATACTGCTGAGATTTGCACGTGTGGGGCTTGATTGAGAAGGCACTTTCTCCTAGGATCGCAACTCCATGGTAAATTGTTATCTGTCTTCCCGTAAGCTGCATTTTCTGCCAAGCAACATTATGTGGACAATCCACAGAATTCAGGAAGGTTATTAGATGCTGTGTTTAAGGCGCTGCGCATCTAAAAGCAAGCATCCTTTGTTAGTGGACAAGTGTAAAATTTGCCGGGTTTGCTGCCCTGCCTTTCATGAAGTATGTCACAAAAAGGTTAGAAGAGCTTGAAAACGATTTATCTTTCAAGAACCTTCCTTGATATTTGAACAGACCCAGGCTTCAAGCTCAAAAAGGAAATTTTGCTTTTGATTTTTGAGATGAAAATGTACGAATGGGTGTGAGAATTGTGTGCAGTTAAACGACAAAATTTCGACGTCTGCCTAATGTGAAAGCTTAGCACACAGAAATTCATAGAGGCGTGGACTCTGAATGCAATACTTGTCAAGAATACTATGTACGTTTAAATTGCAAATTTTTGCTAGCGCGATCCAAGCCCCTGAAACTGTTTTAGAACCTCCTTAAATTCGAAACAAGACTATTGTAGGTCGACTCAAGGCAATCATCTCAGTGGGAGTCGGTATGCAATAAAATGCTGTTTCGGAAATCGAAAAACGCATTCAGGATATAAAACCATCAAAACACATCGTTAGTCTATTTTCCGCTCTCCGGTGTGCAGTGTCGAAAATAAATTGCACAGCAAACCAATTTCGACTATCCCTGAGTTTTTTGGAGTTCTAGATCCGTGCGAACAAGTTTTCGTCTAACTCTCTTTTAAGCTGGTTCGACCCGGTGTTCCGTTATGATTCAACAATAGATTTGAGCTTGCAGGCTCGTCAACATCATAGCTACTGTTATTGTCATCTTGTTAGATATTCCATCCCCCTCGTCTTATCTTTATGAGGGTTTTGAAAAACGCATGTTCAAAGATAAGTTGAGGCGTTTGTAGAGACATACTTTGGATAAATCACAATTCAGTGTATATTTTTCTTCTACAGTAGCATCCACAACAAACTATCAAGCCTACGATTTTTCATAAAATTGTGTCTACCTTTCTGAAGGGATTTCAGTCGTTTGTTGCAAGAAAAACTATTTAGAACGCTGGACGGAGCTTATAGCTTTTTTTATCAATGAAGGAGAGAGACCACTCAGATAAGGTGAGAAATGCATCCATTGCAAGTTTTTATTTTTGCTACTTATAAACATTTTCAACTGAACCAAGAAGTCCTTCATCGCAGCTTGAAGATTTGCAAAAACAATGTTTTTTTCTTTGGGAATTCCTGGCGAAATGAAAGGGAATGTTGCTGTTTGTGTCCATGCTTCGTCAGTACTCCCTTCTATTGACTTTTATGAATTTTTTTAACGAGTACGATTGTTCGAATCGACGAGATAAGGGCATCTTCATTCAGGCAGAAGAATAAAGACCTTCACCAGGGATGACACCCACTTTATCGCAGAGGTGTATTCCTTTCATTCGATGTAAAAATCAGTATAAGCTCAGTCTAGCGTTCTTCTTGCTGATCCGTGAAGACAGCGAAAACAATTGAGTAATTGCCCTTGTTTAAAGGTGACCAAAATTTGGCTGAGATGCGCCAAATCGCCAAGATGTTGGCACGACGTTTTAGAGCTCACAAGGGAATGGTCAGAAGTCGAAGTGGCCAATCCAAACAAGCTGTATACCATTCGATGCAGCATCGAACGCTGATTTCAAATCTTCCTTCCATATCTGCAGAGCGCCTTTGCAAGCGAAGTTATGACCTGCTTTAGTGCGAAAAAAGCGCACACAAAAATTGCCAGATTAGGCACATTGTTGCACTTTTTGCTCACTTTTAGGTACTAACCATATGGAGTGACCTAGCTGCATGTTTTGGTCTAGCACTGAGCCGGGTATGGCTCTGTACGGCCGAGTTTGCCCTCCACACACACAATTTCTTAGCGAAATTATGGCTTTCAACGGCTTATAATTTCGTCCACAAAAGCGCTCTGCAGATAAGGAAGACAGATTTAGACTCAGCGTTTTATGCTGCATCTAATGCTGTGCAGCTTGTATGGATTGGCCACTTCGATTTCTGACCATTCCCTTGTCAGCCAGCTCAGTGAAAGGCAATTCGAATGCATTTCTTACAAATATAAAAAAATTTCAAAAGCATTTATGATTTTTTATGCGAGTTATGAGAAGTAGACGTAGTCATTGGAATGTACGCTTATTTACAAAACTACAACATGCCTTGAGTACGCTCGATGAAAATGACTTTTTTGGAGATGCTTCGCATTTTTCAATGAAAAAACTCTGTATTGTTCATCATTCAGATTTGCGAAATTTCTAATTTTTTTCATTCAGAGAATTCACGAAAACTGTAACTTCTAGTCAGTGTTTCTCGCTGTTCTTATACCAGACATGGTTTCATCCTCTTTCAGGAGGGACTATGTGTCTAACATAAAATTTCACGCTTTGCTCATCTATGTGTCTCCAGAAAGCTAGCTTGGAACAAAGAACAAAAGCTTGCACAGATAGTTAGATTACGAATTCTACACTTCATGAATGCATTGTTGTAGGGAATGTATTTCTCGCTTTTCTTTAGAGAGTGCTACGGCACACAGTCAAAAACAGTGTACTCTATCTTTGACATCCTACATCAAGATCGATTACAACAAGTTTGGCAGAACTCAAACAACAAGTATTTTCAATCAATTTCTTCCAAACGCTGATGAATTTCCCACTTGCTTTTTCATGTTTTCATTTGGTCGAAAGTTTTTATCATCTTTTTCACACCGCCACTCCCACTTTCTTTCGCATCTCTCATTTTCGTTCAGAAGCAAACGAGCCAGCAACTTCCATCCCTTATCAAACAAAAACAATACCGCAAGGAAGATTCGAGGTGAGTCTCGACAGGATATCTGCTGTTTTTGATCCTAAGTAGCAATTATCATTTCTTTGCATCATGAGAGAGCAGGTAGCCGGAGGTTTTACCCACCTCCAACGGTTATTTACCCAAGCTAGCTAAAGTTGGATGCGAAATAATTGGAAATTCGGAAAGAAAGCTTCTAGAATTCCTAATTTATTTGTTTTCACGAAGCTGCTGTGTTTTGTTATCATACCATATCTTTTCACATCTCAGGAACACTTGCTTTCAAAATGTTGTTGCTCATATACTTGAACAAAAGTATTTCATAAAATGCCTTGAACCTGGAACTATTACGAGATACCGCGACTCTGAGGAAGTTCCCTTACGTTAAGTCCTCAGGAAACTTGCATTTGGGATCTAATTGAGTTGCTCTTGACCCAAAGTACTCGCAAATTTCCTTTTGCTCCTTCATTCACCTCAGTACTGGAGATTCGCTTGTCCTCGGGAAGTTCATATGTCTAAGCACTTTATTATTCTAAGCGCCTTAGCAAATGTGTGTATGAAAAGGAGAAAACTTGTTTATCAAATCATCTTGTTCTGTGCTACGAACCACGAGGCAATTTCCCAAAGAGATTCTTATTTTTCCACGCTTACTTTCTAACCTGTTCATTCTGCCTTCTACTATATCACTATCATATTGCAACACTGTAAATTTAATTGCTGCGAAAGTTTTTGATGTGAGCAGAAATTTGGTAAATAAATCATACAAAAAGCTTCACTGTAACAAGTATCATGGAATCGCACTCAGTAGCAGATTACAATGAGAGAATAATTGATTCTCTTCTTTCTGTACAAGGTAGAAAATTATAAAATATCCACAAATATTCACTTGCTAATAATCAAAGCTTTTGAGGTTTTCTACGTGATATGCTCTTCAATGATCAATATTGGAATTAAGTGCATGGTAGCTGATTTTTTAAACACTGAAAAATTCAGTAAGTTGAGTTTCCATTGTGCTTCGTTACAAAAAAAAAGTTTTTAGCCCATTACTGCCCCAGACATTCTCACTTGATGGTCTGCAGCTCGGCTACAACGCTTATGCTTTTCTTATGTCTTTGTAATATATTAGTAGCAATGGCTTATGTTTCTTGGTTTAGGTAGTAGATATAGTAGATAAACGATTGAGTTGATCAAAACTTTTGTGTGATAAAATGTGCGTACAGATTGACTGTTCTAGAGTGTTGCTCATCGAAGCTTTGCAAAGTCAATGAGGATGACAAAATTCTACAATATTCTAAGAAAAACCATCAGAAATTGGTATTTTCAAAATATCATTGATATATTAAGCCGCTAAGTTCGTAGCGTTTTCATTTTGGTCCTCATATCTTTGAGGAGCGGTTAATTTGCGGCAAGATGCGTATACCTTTTGGAAGGGCTGGTTGTGTTCTTTAAAATACGTCTGCTGATTTCGGTGGAAAGTTGATTCACTCGGATCTCGCAGCTTTCGAAGATGGAAATCAAGAAGCGCTTCTGCATAGATTTTTGTACCGATAATGGAACATGGCGTTTGCACATCAGTATGAGACAAAAAAGAATTGGATTGCTAGGATCAGGGGCTGAACAGGGTGTTGTCCCTGAAACAAGACTTTTCGGGGGACGGGCAGGACGTCCTGCACTAAAAATTGCTGTAAAGGTAGGCGATGGTCAACCATACCGTAAGCAATCCAACTGCACCGTCCAGGTCCTACCGCAGAAGAAGCTTAGCAGGCAGATTCAGTGAGTTTTTCTGCATGAGGGAACATGGCCTCATACGGCAAACGTCGTCAAAACTGTCCTGCACGATTTGACTGGAAGGTACTTTAGTACCCAAAGTGCTCTCCAAATCATACTCTATTAGATTATTATTTGCTCCGCTTTTTGGCAAACCTCATGAATGGTGCCTGTCTCGATTTCAATAAGTAGTTTGAGCGCTGGTTAGATGACTTTTTGGGACCTGGCACGCTGCGTTCGAAAAATTGAGATTGAGAAGCTAACAAGAATGTGCCAAAAGGTCGTGCACTACAACGAGGAATATAGTTTTGATTGATTTTTACTGTAAATTGATGATTTTGCTGGTTTAAAAAAACGCTACGAACTTATGGAACGACCTAATAATTCGTATTTGAAGAAGCCCTATAATCTGTAACTGGACATGAGCGCACACTTGTCGGATTATCATTACACGGAATAGGCAGATTAAGAACTTTATTTTTTAGCACAGTTCCAAAAATGCTTACATTATGCATAAGTACAACATCACAGTAGTCAAGCCTAGGAATAAAGACGGAATCACAACGTTTACCCTTCTGTATGGGATCATTTCGACTAGGAAATGGATAGTAGAAATCGAGAATACCTTGTATACAACAATTCGGAAAATAGGGTAGGTAATGAAATGGGAATGCAAACTTCAGTGTACAGATGATAATAGAGCAGTGATACGAGGAAGCGAAGCAGAAAATTGCCCGTATTTGGAGAGAAAGCATTTTTTCGATGAAGAATCACGATAACCATTCTGCCGGTACCCACTGTGGTTCGGTTTCCAGTCGTTTCAGGACCGCCTTTATTTAGGTTAAGGATTTGTCGAAATCCGTATTCACAATTATGCTGTCGAAGAGGTGACCGAACTTCTGTAAAGACCATTTTTTGCAGTTTCTGGTAGATCATCAATTCTATACAGAACTCACCTGTTCGATATGTTTTCCTTGTGTAAGAATCGCTTTTAATTCATCATCTTTTACACTAAATTGTCCAGCACATTCCTTTTGTCTACGCAACGTTTGCAACGATGGTGGAGCGACAAAAAGTATGAATGGCATGATGTCAGCTGTTCGAACAGCAACCAACGACTAAAAAGAATTTTACTGCAATCTCCACGAATCCCAAATCAAAAATATATATTCATATACCTCTGCTTTCAGCGTCAGAATGCAAGTTTTCGATCTTCGAATAACATTTATAATATCGTTCACAGCCGTGCCATACATATGCTTTTCGAATTCACCAAATTCGACGAATTTTCCCGCCTGCAAAGAGAATATGCTATTCTTTTGCACTCCACCTAATACCCTTCCAACCTTAGCGTCATCCAGGAATTGTTGCCGTGAAATGAAGTGATAGTGAATGCCATCAAGTTCCCCATCTCTCGGCGGACGAGTAGTATCTAAATAGGAATTTTCGCTTCTTCGCCAAGAATTGAAATTTGATGATATTTAGAAAAGAATGGATCCGAAGGCTACATCCAGAGTTGGCCGAGCCAGCGCCGTGCCACTGTGGTGTCTGTGGTTCCAGCACGGCGCCGGCTCACGGGTAACTCTAGACGCAACTGAACCATTGTTTTTCTTGTTTGCTTGATAAGGCTCTACTGGTTTAATTCCTCAAAACTACTCACGAAAAAAAATTGTATGAGAATTGTGGTTCTCTGAAGTAGAAACTCACAAGGCATGGGACCAGCTAGCCGATCTCTGTCCGATTCTAACAATCGTTGCCGCAATTCCAAGCAGCCAACTCCTTCTGGACCACAAAGAATTAACGTTCGTTTTCGGTCTGTTCGAGCCAGATACAGCACCACTTCTTCGTAAGTTAGAAGATCTGAAGAGAAACGGATTTCAGAAAACTTTGCCTGTCTGGCTTTCTTTTTTTTCGTGAAGAAAAACCGCAATGTAGAGTGCATATAGCAATTATGAGTCGGTGAAAATGATAGAGAACCAAAAGTAAGAGATAAGAAAATTTCAAAAGGAGATAATAATCATTGCAAATTTTGAAAACTTTTATAAGATCCATGTAAACTTAGCGTGACCTGGATTTGTGGTAAATAACCTCTATCTGTTAAGTAGACATTTTTCGCATCCTTACAAGATTTACGTAAAGTAGGAGGGAATTTTCGCAAAACATTTGGAGAAGTTCCTCCTGTCATTTGCAGGACTTCCCTAAATTTCCGCCGCACTCTATAAAAGAACTTCCGCAGGACTTACGGTCTTCGCCTACGTTTCTTTGAATCTTTTGAAGACGTCTTTTGAGAAATTTTGAGTAAATTTGTATGAATTTTCCAATGACGAACATTTTTCGGAATCGGTGCGAGTACCGCTTCTCCGGCGGAACTTCCTGTGGGAAGTCTGAACAAAGTATACCCAAGACTGAGAAACTGATAGTATATTATTGAAAGTGTGACAGTTTCAGAAGGATACCAGGGAGATATAAACAATCAGTAAATGAATATTATAGATTGAGTGTTTTACAAATTTCCAGGCTGGAAATGGAAATGTTTGAATTGGTTGAGAAACTAACCTGAATGGTAGCCGATGTTATTTGGAGTAGGTTCATCCGCACTTCGTTGCACTTCTTTCGAGGATTTGCGTCCGAGTGTACGAATCACCTAATGTCTCAGATTAGTTCCACATCTTTTGTAATTTCCCTGAAAACCTCATGTAATCTCTTTTTTGAATCGGTTCGACATTTTGGCTTTGTATCCCTGTCCATCTCGTCCATATACATCACCACTCTGGAACGGAATACTTTCTAGGGGGAGGAAAACCACGGTAAGACTACTGTAAAATCATTTGACGTACTGCTGATGAAAACTGGAACTTGGTATGAGTCCTGCTAACGATTGAGTGTTATCGTCTCCTTCTCGGTAGGCTTGCCACCAATTCTCATCGTCCGTGCTCATCACATGCAAAATGTCTCCTCGTTGAAATTTCAGAGCAAGCTCTTTGCAGGGAACATAAATGTCGTCCTGAATGGAAAGCAGAAATGACCAGTTTTAAATCTGTAAACTTTGTTACCATTATTGAGGAATTTTTGTGCTATCCATCAAATTTTAATTGTGACATCTCATTTTATAATCTTGTTCTACATTAATATCATTTTAGACTTAAGGTGTACATTAGAAAATTCTGATTTAGTCTCATTTTACATAAAAGTTGTATATGATGTCATGTGTCATTACATGTGAAAATGAAAACTAAACCAGCAGAATAAAGAAAAGTTAGATCGTGTGCAATTATAGCCTTTGGCAACGAACTTTGGAAGCAAAATTCAAATCAAATACTTAAATCTCAGAATGCAAAAAAGAACTTTTCAAGTTATTATCGCGCTACTGGCTACGAATTCAAGCAACATGATGAAACAACAGCTAAGTTCCATTCAACTTATAAAGGCCCTTTTTTTGAAACCTTCCTGATTGTTTTTTTTTTGATGATCATCGTTCAGAATAAATGAATTTATTGAATCTAACTACTGACCTCAGGATCATAATCAAACAATGCTCGCATATATTTCACATTAGAAGAAGGTGGTGTTTTCTTCCGTTGCTCTTGAACTGGTGAAGAGACCACGAATCGGATTTCCCCGGCAATGTTACGCTGTAAAAACAAATCATCGTTGATTCAAATGGATATAAGTTTCAATATAGGTGCTAGTGAACAGGCACTTTTGTCGATAAGTCAGGTATACATGGAATAATGATGAATAGAATAAGTTTTTGTAATCCAAAATCCCCGCCTAGTGAAGTACACGCAGATCATTTATAGATTCGAATCAGTACGACAAAGGTGATATAACAAGAGTTATATTTTTTTCGACAAATCTTGTAAAGTTCATAAATATGTTAGAAAAGTAGCACAAGTTCCGCTACATTTTCTCATTCTTTCTGTGAAATCCTCTAGATTCGGAACCAAACGAGTCAATAATAAAAAATAAATAAATAAGTAATAACGGAGACATTTTTGAGAGAGCATTTTCAAGAAATATTGTGTAAGGCTTATGCTACAACCTAACAAAAAGGAAACTCACTAGCAGCTCGCAGACCTCAGATACGTTTTTGCCTCGAAGATCGATGCCATTCATTTCCAACAGCTCATCACCTGAAAAGACAGAGCTCAACACCATAATTGTGTAGTCACAGTACCATTACAGTACCTTCTTTGAGTAGCCCTGTCTTCTCCACCACTCCGCCTTTGACGACTCGACCTACGACTATGCGGTCGTCTTCGTTTCGAACCGTGGCACCCTAAAAAGCCAAAAATACAACCTTCAAATTAAAACAATAAAAACCCCAAATAATGTAAATTTAAACAAGGTGTTTCACAGCATTTGAACAAATGATATGTGAAAAGGTGTATGATCACAGCAAGGTCAGAGCAAATCACACAAGCGTGGTCGGTGAAAACGGCACTCATGACTTACCAAAATAATCTTAGAATAAATTTTTTGGATCAGGATGTTCCAAGAGGGTTCTAAACGCACAAATGAAAGCAAGGGTGGCTTTGAGGTAACCGATTGAATGACTCATCAAACTTACCAGATAGCTGTCTTCACGCTTGAAGAGCGATACCACGTGCACATTTGGCTCGGAGGTTTTCGCATCTGACACAACAGCGGTGGTACCATTCGGGACATGGGTGGATTCCTCTTGTTTTCTTTCCTGAAACCAGCAAAATAAAGTTTTGTGATGAACTAGCTTGCTTACCCGGCTCTGCTCGGCCCTGTCAAAAACTGTAATAGAGGTCCCATCCCTATCCCTACACAGCCTTTCCGTGTGCCCACTTATACACTTTTGTTCCCTGTGTTGTTTTCGGAATCAGCATGCCCACTTACTCCCTGTGATAACTCCCAGCCCTGTAGCTCAAACTTTGCAAAAAATCGATAAAATCGATAAAATCAATGTCGATCGATAACGAATAGCCTATGACACGCTCCCGGCCCGGAGTATATTTGTGCCAAGTTTGGTCCAAATCGGTTCAGAAATGAAAATTTCTATTCCGCACATACGTACATGCAGACATTCAGCTTTATATACATATAAGAGGTAGAACTAGACCAAAGTTCTTATCCCAAGCTGTGTTTGGCGAAGGAAATGCAGTGATAAGGACTTATTTGTAAAGTGACATTACACCAATTTTTCAAATTAAAGAACTACTGCTATGTAAGTAATTTGCATGTCTTATGCTAAATAGCGGCTTTCTAGTATTTTAACCACTAAGAATTACGACAAAAAAACCGTTGTGGAAGCTCTGCTTTTAGAGCTAGGTTACGAATGGCATTCAGATCTTTATTATGAAGACACCTTCTTCAACCTTTAGGAGAAAAGCATAAATTTATTTGAATTTACATAATGCTACTGTGTTACAGTCGATTTGTGTAGAGTTTTTGTTCCAAATAATAATTTAGGGTAGGCTGATGTCAAAAACTCTATCCATCGGCTTAAAAAACAAGTGATTAGGTCTTTTTTCGAAAGCGGCTCATTTTAAAATTTGTATCATAATTTGTACTATTTGTACCAGGAATCGATTAACCTCAAGAAGTTGTTTTCTTTATCCTATATACATGCAAATAAACCAAATCAGTTTATCTCTATCAATTCAGAGAGTTAGTTATTCGCAGTGTGCAATATTCTGATGATCAGAAGAGATAGCCAGGTACCCACAAGGAAAGAGTATCAACTCAATGAGGCGATTGAACACGGCTGGCCATCACCAGACGCGTCTTTAAACGCTGATTCCAAACCTGCTATCTTTTTTTGCCATGTTTGCGAAAGAAATTATGAGCGTTTGAAAACTCAAATTTGATTTGTCAAGCCTTAAAATCAGCGAAAAGCTGTACAAAAACATCGAAAATGGAAAATCATTCTTATACCAGATATACTAACTTAAGGGAAGAAACACGCTAGTGGAGGTTCACATAGACGTTTTTGTGCTTTGCGCTAATTTTATGCCAATTAAGGCTTGATAAATTACTATCGTGCCCTCATATCTTCTTCCGGGGAGTTGCATAATCATCTTACAAAGTTGCTAGTGATAAACAGCTTAATTATAATCGCCAACACAAGTTGATATTCTTCCATGTTCGGTTGCTAGTAGCCTCTCCATGCTACGTCTCTCTCCGAATTTTTTTTTAGCTTACCTCGTCTCCCTTCCGATGAACTGCAACAGCTTCAATAGCTGCCTGCACAGGCTTCGAATGAAAGTACTCATGCAAAATTTTCGACTCCTCCTCCCTCCCTTCCACCTTCGAAAGATGATCCGTTATTCGATCCACAGATACGATAACTTGTTGTAAAGCTAAAATATTTCATTCCATCTATGAGCTCGTACGCTTTGTGCACACTCACGTATAGCTTGATTATTGTTACTTTCCAGCTTTTCACTGATTGTCGTGTCGCCTTGGTCATAACATTGATTCTCATATCCATTTATAGTTTTAGCACCAGATTTTCCATCTGGGTTCAAATCAGGCATATCTATACACACTGTCTTCTCTTTGGTTGCAGCTAAAGCCTGCAATTTCTTCGACTGCCGGAGCGAAGACCTGGAAATTAAAGAATGTTTTAGTTGAAGAATTGATTCGGGGAGAGCGATTTACCTCAAGAAGTCGTTTTCCTTTTCTCTTTGTGCTTTCTGCGACATTCGTGTTTTTACATCCGATTCATAGAGTTTCAAGCGATCGTTCACTTGGAGATGCTGCAAAAGACGTACTAGATGATAAAGTTGTAAAACAATGTGAACTATGGCTATGAATACAGCAGTGGCGGCCCGGAAATTTTCTTTGTGGTGGGAGGATGCAGGAGTGACAGACAATTTTCTGAAGAATTATTTGGTACGTCTTACGACCTCGTCTCGGTATCTCAAAAAAAAGTTTTTCTGAAAGGCTGGTTTATGATATAAAATTCAAGGGACCATTTCAGTTTACAGAAGCAAAGCTAGTCCCTTTTGCAATTTTATAATTCATGTAGCCACTTTAAGAATTCCGCGCATTCTCGGCACGGAAGAGTTATTTCAAATGTTTTAACATCAATTTATGAATTTTTTTTTTTTGGAGTTAATGTGTTAATCGAAAATGGGAAGATCAGTGCCAAGATGATTCCTTGGAAATTTTTACAAGGCAGCAGTCAGAAATTCACTTATAGCGGCACCGTGCTAGCGCCGTGCCAACCCCGCAGGAGCCCAAATTTAACGATCAATCGATCAATTTTTAGGCGTAACGCCGGCACGGCAATGACACGATAGCGCTGGACGCAACCTAAGACGAACGACTTAAGCCCTTTTCGGTCATGGAACTTGTTTGTAAATGAAAGATTAAAACTAGGTAAGCTGTAGATCAGCTAAGAGTGGATGCAATTTATGCGTAGAATTGAAAGTCTCCTCCAACCCAGCAAATGTTTGCAAATGCAAGCAAAGGCAGAATCCACGTAAATCTCAAAAGCATGGTAAATTCGTTATAGGATGACGCATGTGCGTCCTTTTTTCCGAAGAGGAACTCATAAAGCAGATAAAGTGGAGACTAGTGCCCAATTCTGATTTAAAAACTTCTTTATTTTTGCACAATCTGCATTTTTGATGAGAGAAGCGGACACATTTGGTAAATTTACTTTCTAAAAAAAGATAATTTCCAAAAGCGAAGATTTAGATAAACTCAAAAAAATTCGTCGAGCGAATGAATGAGTAAAGGATGATCAAATGATTGTCTAAATGGGATGAATGGTAAAAGGATAGAAGAATGAGCCAGTCAGAGAAATGACGCAGCGACTGGATATGAATGGCTAAATGGGTTAACAAATGGTTTATCGAACGAAGAATAAAATGAATGAATGGATGATTAGAAATGAATGAATGAGCGTGAATGATTAGTTGAAAGGGTCTGTTATCAGATTCTTAAAAACTTCTTGATGCTAAATTAGGCTTATTTACCTTCTACTTCTATCCCTTCTCAGAACGATGCGCAGAAAAAAAATCACATTATCACCCACCTGAGATGCTGTGGAGGGATTTTGACATGATGTTGCTGGTTCTGATGCAATTGATTCCATGTCAAACGTTTTTACAGATGGATTTTTCCTGAAAATATCAAATTACATTGTAGAAATAGGCAGAAGATGACAAAGCGCAAAGAAAGAGAATGAGCTATCATGACTAGCAAAGTGTTTTTATAGGAGGAAAGCTCATGTGCATTAGAATACATAAGGTGATTCATATCGTCCTTATTTTGTTTGAAGCAGAGAATGTTAATAGCGGCTGAGCTGCATTTCTTTTCATCGTTACGAATAGATTCACCAAAATGATTCTGTACTATAGTTATAGAAGTTAAGAAGAAAATCATGAGAAGAAAATTCTTCCACTGTTACGTAAAATACCTTTCACAAGCGGACCTGCTAAAATTGAACACATAGATTAAACATTAATAAAATGGCGTGAGAGAAAAAAAACCAAACATATTGTTTCTCATTCAGATTGTAAACATTGTGATCGCGAATTACCAATAAATAAAAGCAGAAGCGCACATAATTTGATGCCGTTTTTACAAGAGTACCAAAGTGCTTTAGTCTAACAGTTCGGAAAATGCCTCAAATCAAATGTTTTCTCATACTCTGTATATATAGAGTTGTTGCAGAATCGAAAACTTTCTTCAAAGAGATTTTAGCTTCGTATATATAGCGGAAATTTGTCTTCAACCTTGAATTTGACAAATTGTTGAGATAACGAAAATTCAAACGAAATGAATATTATTAACATGATGGAAAAATAAAATGAGAGGGTGTAAATCATGCAGAATCCATTTTTTTTCTCTCAATTACCTCTAAGAAGAAACAGTTGTTAGTCGAAACAATCAACTTCGTTTCGCAACGAAACAAGTAGAAATTGATTTTTTACGTTGGTACAACAGAAACAAAAATAACGAAAAGCTTATTTGTAAAGGCGAAGAAATATAGGTCGAGCTTCCTTGTTGTTAGAAAAATTCCACTTTCTAAAAGAAAAAAAGGTGATTTAGGAGCAATCTGAGAGACTTTTCTAAATGATTACACCAAATGGCAAGCACAGATCCTCCTCTCGAATCCGAAACAAAACCGGGAGAAACGCTATGATTCATGGCTAGATAAAATGTCACACGCGCTATCACTAAAGGGCCTTCGTAATTCAGAAGTGATAAGAAAACATTTGCGAAGCATAAGCGCGACGCGTGAGCGATCACATTTTGCCAAAGGTGTGTCTAATAGGCAAACATACCAGCAGAACAAACTGGTTATTGGCGGTAGACAGTGCGAGAGCGCCGTTCTCGACTGGAGCGTCGATGTCACGACATGCTGCCACATCGTCGCGAGCGCTGGTGCCACCAGAATGGCAACTGCCTTTTTCACGTGCACTTCGAATGCATGACGGCATTCGCCGTTATGAATGCAAAAATCGTTTCGAAGGATTTACATGTGATGAATGGCGCCAGATGCACAGCTTGAAAAATAGCAAGTTGTTGCAAATTTATTGAACGAGAAACTGTATATTATAAAGATTTTCAGAGTTTGCCATCAAGTGAACAGTTGAAACAAAATGATTATTCTCATATGGTAAACAAGCATTTTTTGCCAACTCATGCACTTTATATTTTGCCAATTTTTCTCATAAGCCTTGCACCAAAAATCATGTAAAATTCTTTTTAAGACTGTTCAAGAAAACTTTTGATTTGTAATAAATTACTTTTGTTGCAGAGCAATGATCTACTTTACGATTTTCTCTGCTGCATCGAATCAACGATTTTGTTAATTAGAGAAAAATGCAATTTTTCAAAGTAATGGTGCGAAACTTATAAAACAACCTATGGTTCTGTACTTATTAGGTCACAAAAAATTATCGAGAACAAATTCAAACTTAAACAAATTTAATTTAAAGCAACAAAATCCTATGCGAGTGGTAATAAATTGAATCAGGTTACTTTCTTATGCTTGAGTAAATCTCGCTGAATTACTATAACAGATACAAGACATGACTCAAATGCCATTTTAGGGGATTTAATCTAGTCAAAGCTTATGAACTTTGCAATCCAACATACTGTGAATGAAAATCTCGGGGTTGCTTTTCCCAAGGAGAGTAGTGAACGCGCTGAAAAAAACAAAATGTTTTTCGTTGTTTTCTTCAGATAAGCATCGGATTACAGCCGATAACAGTTGCAAGAGCGTGTTGATCCTATGAAACCCATGCCATCAACATATTTTTGCCCGCATACCTCTATCAAAGATGAAAAAGAGGAGATAAAAAGGGGAGAGATTTTGAAAAGGCACTTTGACGTAATCCAAACAGTAATAAAGCTTAATGATAGAATTCGTTGCGCAGAAGCAGCGATGAAATCTATTTCATAGTCACTTATTTATCAGCTAAGTAGCACAGTGTGTTAAATTTAACTTGGTACGAAGTATTAAACTCATCCACAATGTGAAGTCAAGAAAGGAATATTGGGGAACGATTGAGACAAAAAATTTTTATCAAGATCTCCACACCATGCTCGTGACTCTCACCATCTGTAGTTAGAAATGAAAGAAGCGTCCAGATTAATACTCCTAAAGCTTTCAATATTGACTGTTGAGTATCAAACTTTTCATCCGGATTTTGAAATGCAGGCTATTATTTAGACCTGCAGATTTCAGAAAATTGAATTTGTAAGAGCTGGAGAGCTGGTTTGATGGATCGCATCCCATAACACTAACATGAAAAAGCAAAACCTATCTGCAGAGTAATTTCCTAATTTTTAAACCACAGGAAATGGAAATATGAACGCCCTTATTGGATGCCCATCTGGAAAAATCAACAACTAAGAAAAACAGGCTAGATTCACGTTGCTGTAAAAGCGAGTGGAGTCCGCATTATTTGGAAGATACTGGCTATGTAGTGTTCCTCTAAATCCACATTTTCTCGACAAAACGCCACATGGAGCACATTTTGATAATGCATGACAGCTGTCTTTCAGTTTATGAGATCTGCAGCTATATTCTTACACATCCTTTGATGCTCAGTAAAAGGCAAACACAAATTCGATCCTAATGCAAGCGCCTCACACGGGAGGTCCGTTTAGTCGAAGTGGCCTTTTTAAGTACGTCTTACACCGCTTTGAAGAGCATTGAACGCTGAATCCCATTCTCATTTCACTATCGCCAAGCGGCTCTGGACGCCGAGTTATGAGTGTTTTTGGAGCAAAAAAATATCGCAGAATCTAGGAAATCTAGGAAAATGAAAGCAACCGTTACGGTCTTTTCATCGCTCAGGTAGAGCAGTGTTGAGTATTAGTATATTAGACAGAAACTACCTATTAAATCAAGTGTCTGATAATTGCTACTGGATCATTTGAGCAACTCTGACGGCTTTGTTCAAGTTGAGAATTCAATTTTTTCAACCCAGATTTACTCACAGCTCGACGCAGAAGCGTTTGGCAGATAATAAAGATTTGAAAAAATCTTTCATTGCTCTTCAAGTGGTTAAGAAGACACATAGAAAGGCCACCTTCACTAAACGGACTTTCCACCCTTTTAATTCATACTTGGGATTTTCTGTTTGGAAATTAGGCTTCGTCGAGGCGATTGAATTTTACCCAAGATTTGGTTCTTCAAAAGTGGTTTGCACTTGGAGAAGTGGGCCCTGTGTTGACTTACACATCATCCCTTCCCCTCAGCACCTGGGATATGCGCCAAACTGGAACATCCATCACTTGCAAGCTGGCACGTGAGGATGAGAATGAGGGTAAAACTAAAATATTTTTCTTTAAATACGACCAACAGTTCCGGTACAGCAATTATGAGTGATAAGCACTAGATAAAGAGTTATTCGAGCTATTTGAGAAAATACTCATAACGGAATATTTGAGCATTCGATTGATTAGAAATACCAGAAAGTACGAAAAAATTTCAATAAGTTCCTGTTATGTGCACTATGCTTTTCACTAAGCTGCGTCCAGAGTATCCCGTGTCAGCGCCGTGCCGGAATTGCTTTGAGCTTGACCAATGAATATACGCAGTACGTCCACCGGGTTCCGAAACGGCGCTAGCACAGCTCTGGCACGGTGCTGAAACAGCATTGGTATCAAGGATGAACGCAATCTAACTATTCCTAAGACTGATATTGAATTAGATATCCTGGCATAAACTAGTCCTTTTTTCCTCGAAGAATTCGTTGTAACTCTGCTGGATTTCAAAAAGACTTTTTTAGAGGCGAAAAAAGCAAAATCTCCCAGAGGTGTTATCAACAACTCAAATAGTGCATTGTAGCTACTAATTATATGAAGACAATTTGGGGGGGGGGGGACAAAGGCACAAGAAAATGCAGTGGAGATTGGAATGAAAGCTTGGAAACATGGTAATCGGTCAAATAAATCAAGCCTAGACAATTGCCAAGGACAAAGAACAGGAGCGAAGCAAGCTTCGCTTGTTGATGGGATTCGTTATTGTCGTCGTGTCCAAGCTCCGAAAATCACTCTACTGGAAGTGCCGATAAAGATCAAGGGACACACCTTGTCGATACTAATCATCTTCTCTCTCCTCCCAAGATGTGACCAGCTACACTTTTCGTCTCCGAACTTTCTTAGCATATGCTTTCGTATGGTGAGGAAAGTCTTCTTTTCTTGAGCATCGAGGTGAAGCATTCTATTTACTGCCAAAATATGGAGACGGAACAAAATTTCCCACGATGTAATAGAATGTCTCCAAAATTCGAAGGAAAATATTACCGGGATTTCCACCTCGAAAATTTTAATGGATATAGCAGTCGAAAGCTTAACTTTAGGCTCAAAGTAAACTCTACAACTTAGGCTGGTTAAAAAAGGACATTGGCTTCCTCTATTTATTCAGAAATTCACCATGAAGCGTCAAGTCATATGAATCTTACATCAATGTTTACATTGAACTGCAAAAAAAGTGCGCAACCAATCCAATACGTCTCTGAGCTCTTTTATTTTCCAACAAATAGCATCTGAACAATTATGATGGGTAGAATGGCTCATTAACCCGGTGTATGTTTACATTTGAGAACAATCTTGCCTCTCAGCTTTCCTTATTCTGCTATACCTATTTCAGCTCTTTTTC